GAAAAAATCTAAAGTATTCTCAAACAAGTGTTTTCTTGAAAAAATTATAAGTGAGGAACGTCTAGAACTCAATTCAATATTATACATGGCTTATGACAAATATCCCACACAGAACAAAACTCCATTAGACGTCTATTAGACGTCGACAGCTCAATGCGACATCTAATAGATGTCTAATAGATGTCTGGATGAATGGATGTCTGTGTGGAATTACAAAAGTAGCAACTGGCAAGATACATGCTATAAAAAAGATTTGTGCGCGCGTTGCCAGATTTTCATCACTTTACTTCACTACGCTTTTATTACACAACTTTACAAATCTATTCTAAATAAAAAAATATACTAAAAGAAAAACGGTAAAAAATATATTTGTTTTCAAATATTCATAAAATGTCTTTCTATAATATATTTGATTTTTGTAAAAATTTATAGAGCCGTTTTGAAATTAAAAACAAAAATAGGCTGTTTAAAATGTATTCACTATAGGGAACGTATGTTAATCACGCTTATTTTGATAGTTACTCATACAGCACGGAAAGATTACAAGAACATTGCAGGAATATTTTATTGCAAGATTGNAATATTGCAAGTACGTTGCAAAATATAATTGTAACATTATTATGACACTATAGCAACAGTAAAATATCCGCCCTCAGAAAGATTGCGCTATAATATCATGGCAATATTGAAATGTATAGAATAATGTAAAATATGTTTTTTTATTTAATAAATTACATTTACACGTTTTCACTAATCTAGTTTAATAACATCTACAATTATAGCTATATTGATTGAAATTATATAAACATTAATATATTATAAAAGTATATTATAACAATAACAAAGACATTTAAGTAGTGTTTATAAAACATATTTTAAATAAACAGTTATAATTTTATGAAAATTATTAAACTACTCTTACTCTTAGAAATTTATTGATATAAGACAAAATAATACTTATTTCAATACTCACTTTATTAAAATGGTGACTATTAATTTTATTATTCACAATAAGTATGATAAAAAACAAATATTTCTTTAATAGTAAATTAATATTCACAAAATTATATTTGGCAATTTATAATATTTTATTAACACTAAATGTGATAATACGTCACTGTTATAACATACATTAGAGCTTTTGTAATTTCAATTAATATAGTTACAATTGTAGATGCTATTAAACTAGATTAGTTCGAAACTTATAATTGTTGTTTAAAAAAGCTACATATATATTCACTGTGACAGACACGAAAAATATCACGTCACAACTACAAAAAATACAAAAGAATAAAAGAATACAATTTAAAAATACAAATAAGTTTGTATATATATAAGTAAATTAATTTGATTTTATTTATAAATTCAAAAATTAATATTTTGATATTTATTATGTAAAGATGAGTGTATGTAACTTCAGGAATTTTTTAATGAACAAATGAATTTTTTGGCTGTTGAAGCAAAACACAGTTTTTGGAGTGTGTATTTATTTAAATCCGTTTATTAAATAACTATAGCATAAACGTTTTCAACCTTTAAATTAGGTCCTTATCAAATGCATGTCTACAAAGAATTAAGGTAGAATCCGATAAATGAAATTTGAAAATAATTAATTAAGAATCGCAGAATAAAAACAATATACAAAAGTCACTTACAAAAATCTTAGCTATTATACGTCGCTGAGTGTTGATCGTGGATGTCCATGTTGCACAAGCCGTCCCGACCAACACTTTACAAGAGTGAATACGCGACTGAGAAACAAACGTGTGTATAAAGATAGAAGTCAAATCTACAAATACCTAACATAACACTTTATGATGTCTTATCGACAAACGGTAAATATGAATTGTCTAAATTTTCCGTGTCACACTGTAGATTAGGTCCGCAGACTTGACTTCTTATATGTAGCATTTTTTACCAATCTTTTGCTGTAAGATCTCTCATAATCCAATATTTCTACTCTGTCCCACTCAAATTCATGTGAGTATTGCAATCTGTGTTCAGTTATTACAGATTTTTGAGTGGAATTTCTATTAATGTGGCTTTTATATTCCTTAATTCTGGTTTGTAACATTTTGCCAGTTTGTCCTACATACGAAGCTTCACATTCACGGCACCTGATCTTATACTACGAAAGGATGTGAGAGAAGGGGCAAAGGATTCTTAAGAACTTTGATAAATTTAGCCAGTTTGTCGAGGTTGTAATAAGCTAAACGCGTATGTGATTCTGAAGGAAATATTTTTGAAAATCTCTCCAAATATTTATTGATGTAAGGCAAGACAAACCAGTGACGCTGTATGTCATTAGAACTTTTGCTAGACAAAAACCTTCTTATGTCATTATTTTTATAAAAATTCTGTTTCAGTCTAAGGATAAAATTATCATATATGAAATCCATCGGATAGTTATTGTCAATTAATAAATTAAAAATAAAGTCAAAATTTTTAGAATGGAATCTAGGATGTGATAAAAAGAAGGCTCTGTCTACGAGACTGATGATCGTGCCTCTTTTTTGGCAAATAGGATGGTTAGAAAAATAGTTCAGGTATCTACCAGAAAACGTTGGCTTATGATACCAGTCGTGTATTAATTTGTTATTATTTTTAATAATAGTGATGTCTAAAAAATTGAGTCTATCCCCACCAACCTCCATAGTGAACTGAAGGCGTAGATGATAAGAATTGTAAAGATTNAAAACAGCATCAAATTGCTCTTTAGGAACCATGAGAGCTATATCATCGACGTATCTGACATGTAAAGGTAGACGGAAAGAGAGAAATTCACAAATGGATGTTTCAAGATTCTGCATTACAATGTCTGCAAGGATCGGAAAGAGTTGAGAGCCCATAGAAGCACCAAAGGTCTGTTTGTAATATTTGTTATTAAAAAGAAAAAAAGTAGAGTTGAACACAAGATTAATTGCTAGAAAAAATTCTTCTTTAGGTAAACTAGTATTATGTGTTATTAAATGCCATCTCTTTTCCAAACCACTAATTACAAGTTCAATAGGAATGTTAGTGAAAAGAGATACCACGTCGAGTGAAATAAGCTCAAAATTTTCAGCAAAAGTTACGTTAGAGATTATATTAGCAAGGTGGAAGCTATTGTAAACAAAACTCGACGGGGGTTGAAGATTTTTTAAAATTATTTTGTGTAAAAATATAGCAAGGTTATGAAAAGGACTATTAATAGAAGAAATAATGACCCTGAGAGGATTGCCGGGTTTATGGATCTTAGGAACTCCATAGGCTCTAGGAAGGATAGTTAGAAACGTATTTAAATTTTTGTAATTAAGTTCCGTGATGTAATCGCGAGCCTTCCATCTCTTTATCAACTCTTTGAGAGAATTCAACATAGAGTTCACTGGATTCTTTTTTACAAAAGCATACGTGCTGGTATCAGAAAGCATCTCCTCCATTTGATTCGTGTACAAGTCTCTATCAATAGCAACAACCGCATTACTCTTGTCAGCTCTTGTAAATGCAATAGAAGGATGATTTTTAATAAACTGACGATTGAGTTTTTGAGCTTGGATGATATCTCCGTTGTATTTAGAATTAATGAATTTAGAGACTCTCATATGTTTGAGAGTAGAGACAAATCGATTACGGCATTTTATTTTAATATTATTATTTAAATGTTTAATATTATTTTCGAAATTTTTAATCAATTCAAAAGTAAGTTTATAATTATTGTCAGGTGGAAAACAAAAATTCTGCGGACTTAATCTACAGTGTGACACGGAAAATTTAGACAATTCATATTTACCGTTTGTCGATAAGACATCATAAAGTGTTATGTTATTTGTAGATTTGACTTCTATCTTTATACACACGTTTGTTTCTCAGTCGCGTATTCACTCTTGTAAAGTGTTGGTCGGGACGGCTTGTGCAACATGGACATCCACGATCAACACTCAGCGACGTATAATAGCTAAGATTTTTGTAAGTGACTTTTGTATATTGTTTTTATTCTGCGATTCTTAATTAATTATTTTCAAATTTCATTTATCGGATTCTACCTTAATTCTTTGTAGACATGCATTTGATAAGGACCTAATTTAAAGGTTGAAAACGTTTATGCTATAGTTATTTAATAAACGGATTTAAATAAATACACACTCCAAAAACTGTGTTTTGCTTCAACAGCCAAAAAATTCATTTGATATTTATGTTCATATATCTCTAATATACAGAGTGTCCCAGAATTGGTGTAACATCTTTTGTAGACAGGTATAAGAAGTAAAACTGAGTCGATAAATCCTATACCATTTTGCTAGATTCGCAATAAATACCGACATCTTAATTAACAAAGATCCGCGAATAAGCATGCATTACGCGCGTAAGACAGCCCGGCGCGCTACGCACAATTACATTTTAATATATATATGTTATAGTATATGCTGTTATATTAGCTCTCATATGTTGCTACGGATAACCGTAAGCGCGCGAAGCGCACTGGGCTGTCTTAAGCGCGTAAGACAGTCCGATGCATGCTTAGTCGCTGATCTTTGTTAATTAAGATCTCGATAACTATTGCGAATCTAGCAAAATAGTATAAAACTTTTTGACTCAGTTTTACTCATTCTATTTATTCACGAGAAATGTTGCACCAATTCTGAGATATCCTGTTTATTTACAAAATGTCCGACAATTATTTTAACATTTCTCGTAGGCAGGTAGAAGGAGTAAAACTTTCGAAAATCCCGAATCATGTTGCAAGATTCGCAATAGTTACCGAGATCTTAAGAGGGTACTGGATACCGACTACAGAGACCTGTAAACCGACTTTCTCCTATGACGTTTGGTGTCGTATTTACTTCATTAAATCTAAAATGCTTCTACAAAAATAAGTAAATTGTGCTAAGGATTGGCGCTTGTTCTTTGGAATGTCAAAATTCAGCATAAATTTTTTCTTATACAGTTTCCTTCTATAACCTCACTATATATTTATGTATGTAGAATTATTTCTAAGCTTATGTACATATTTACAATGAACAAGCGCCACAGATACGACAAAAACGAATCTAATGAGACATTCAGATTATGGTATGACTATCTAATTGACGAGAACAACGTCTTAGCGTGATGACAGTATAGGTTATCATATGCTATCATTATGAATGAAAAAAAAGAGTTTCAAAAGGCATTATATATCTATTTTCAAAAGCACTAAATAGTTGTTTATATGTATTTGCTTCTATAGAAGCACTTTTTATGTAATGCAGTAAAAAAACTTAAAAATTAGAGAAATTTAGGTTTTTAAAACGTCGGTTTACAGGTTTCTATCCAGTTTACAGGCCGGGCTCCAGTACCCTCTTAAGGTTTTGGTTTTGGTGCGCTTGTGGCTCTTGAACCGAGAAAATGGTTAGTTCATACGCCAGTCTGTGTCTGAATGTAGATATAAAGAATTAGCAAAAACATATGCTAAAAGTGTCCAAAAATATTCACAGTAGAATTACGCACATCCAACCAACATGGCTGATGCAACGCGACTTCTAACCGAGATCTTAATTAACAAAGATCTGCGAATAAGCATGCATCAGACTGGTTTACGCGCGTATAAGACAGCTCAGCGCTTCGCGCGCTCACGGTGTTACTTGTAGCAACGTATAGGAAGAGGTAATATAACAGCATATAATATAAAACATATACATAATAAAAAGTAACCGCACGAAGTGCGCCGGGCTGTTTTTTGCGCGTAAGATACCTCGATGCATGCTTATATTCGCGGATCTTTGGTAATTAAGATCTTGATAACTATTGCAAATTTTGCAAATGATATAGGACTTTTCGACTTTGTTTTCCTCCTTCTATTTGCTTACAAGAGATATTAAAGTAAATGTCGGACACTCTGTACATTAATATACATCCATGAATTGCAAAGATATAATTACTGTTTTTATAACGTATAAATACATATTCTTTATTCTGTTTTTTTTATAAGTGTAGTAAAATTATCTTTTTTGTCTAATTTAGCTTAAAATTATATGATCTTATATTTTTCGTATCGGTTTTAAAACATTGCCGCAATATTATTATTGATTTATTGCAATTCCAATGATTTTATAATATTGCTGT